CCCCGCGCCCGGAGAGGGGCCGGTCCCCGGCTCGCACGAGGGAGGGAATCCCCCGGCGCCACCCCCGGCCTGCCCCCCTGCCCGATCCGCAAGAAAAAACGGACTGGAGCGCCGGGCCGGGACTCCGTAGCCCCCTCCCGCACACCCGGACTAGGGACGCGCCGTCTGCACCGTGGCGAACGCCGCGAGCTCACGTTGCCTCTCCCCGCCCCGCACCAGTTCTTCTTGGGTCAGGAGCAGGAGCCCAGGACTCTTGCCAAGACCCGTGCCCTCCATCAGAATATTGGAAAGGGGGCAGGTACAGAATGAGCAGGGCTTGGTGGCCCGGCCACACCCTCCTTCCCTTCAGGGTCAGACCTTCAGTGCATCTGACCAGTTGAGAAGACCGGGGTGAGGAAGGTTTCCCGCTGGAATCAGTGTGGGCCATCCCACAATACATCCCTGCTCCCTCGTTCTCTGTGTTCTCTGTGGCCAGGACTAAAGTTACTTAACTTCTCTGAACCTCCGGGTTCTCATCTGTTTTGAGGGTTCGGTGAATTGAAGGATGCCGATGCCCAGTTCCGGGCAGGAACTCGAAAAATGTTTGTAAGACGAGAAAGTGAGCAAGGAAGGGTTACAGACACCTGCAGTGACCTAGAGGAAGGTTGAAGTCCAACCTTAGAGGAAAAAAGGACGGAGGGAGCCACATGCCTTGAGGGTGGCAAACAGCTGTCTCCCACCCTCCCTTCAGACTGGATGGAGAGAAACTCAAACTGCATTTGTAGTGTGTTCAGTTTCAGCAGAGGATGGGATGACGGGGGCGGGGGGAGGGGGGTGAGTAATGAAGACAGGCTGTGGGATCTCCTTAAGAGGAGGAGGGAGCCCTGACTGTTGAGCCAAGGGCACAGGGTCGCTGGTAGTGATGGGAGGTGGTGGTGGCGGCGGCGGCAAGGGTTGAAAGGCCCCTGGGGTGTTGCGATGGCCAGGGAGCAGCGGGGTAGCTAGCCAGAGGAAGTGAAGCTGCTGGCTATCCGATGCACAGTGTCTGGGCTCACACTCAGAAGCCTCCCCGAGTCTGTAGGAGCTGGTCCAGGGCCCTCCAGCCCCCTCCAGAGGCCCTCCCCGCTCCGCTGCCCCAGCCTCTTCTGGGTCCGATCAGCCCTTGGCCACGCTCTGCACCTAATCAAACAGCCCTAAATGCCGAAAACGCACTGTTTATTTTATTTTATTTTTTTACACACTTGCATAACTCCCTGACCAGCCACGCCAGGCGTTGGGCTTTTGTTTGGTTTTATTTTGTTGCAGAGAGGGAGAGAGAGAGAGAGAGAGAGAGAGAGAGAGAGAGAGAGAGAGAGACCCAGAAGGCGAAGCTGTCAGTGCTGGGCATGGGCTCAGGTTTCTCGCCTGAGGAAGTCTATGGGAGTTGAGCAGCTCTGTGGCTCAGGAATGGGTGAGAAAGGGGAAAGGCCTCTGGGCAGAGATAGGGGTTAGAGCAGGTGACCCAATGGAGGCATAGGGAAGAACTTCTCCTGTACATTTAACATAGTCCTAGTGCTGATTTGCAAATGTACAGTCTATGGCCTAATTTCCCAACTACCTGACTCTCTTTTCTCCCCTCCCTTGCCCCCTTCTTTACATTATCTATCTATCTATCTATCTATCTATCTATCTATCTATCTATCTATCTATCTATCTTCTATCATCTATCTATCTATCTAGTGTGTGGAGGGGATGCACACAGGCACATGGAGGTCAGAGGACAACTTGCGGAAGTGAGCTTTCATGGGGGACCTGGGGATTGAACTCAGGTGGTCAGGCTTGGTAGCAAGCCCCTTTACCTGCAGAGCCATCTTGCCGGCTCCTCCTGCCCCTTGCTTATTGGTGTGAATGCAGAGCCTCTGAGATATCAGGTAAATTGCTCAGAGATGCACAGCCTATAAAGCAACTGGCCTAGAAAATGATTAGAGTTTTCCCCCCACAAGATTCTGCTGCCTCAACACTTAAAGCTGTGGATTCTTCTGGACACCTCTTCCCCTACACTTCTCAGCTTCAAAATGTCAGTCACATATGAGGAACATGACCCATCCTGGTCGGCCCTTGGCTGGACCTGAGCTCCAAACGGATAGGGCTTGTATCTCACGCATCCTTCAGACCCCAGCCCCACGGACAGACTCAGTGGCTCTTTGCCGGCCAGGGTTGTCATGGTAGCCAGAATGGTCCATGCCTCTGTGGTTCTGCAGGCGTGCTCAGGGGATGCTCGGGCTGTATGGCTCCTTCTTCAAGCTCAAGTCATTCTCATCAGAGTCTGTGGATTGCTACATATCAGCAAATGTCCCTGTGCTTCATGTCACTTTCCCACTAGCAGGGACTTCCTCAGCACCTTCATTGACTCAAGGAGGCTTAGGAATAGAGAGATTTCTTATCTCTCCCATCAAGAAGAGCTGATGTAAAAATGGTTTAGAAGCTCAACAACGCTGTCTGTTCTTTTCTCTCTCCCTCAGCCTCCCTTGACAAAAGTCACTGTGGCCTCTCCTGGAGGCTCTGTGCCTCCATAAACACTTCTCCTCTGAGTCTCTACCTTTGCCAGCAGAGGCTGGAAAACCTATTCACCTTTCCTGCCCCAGGGTGTACCTCAGCTCTCCTTCCTGCCTCCCTCTCTTTGGTGACATTCCTGCATCCCCTGTCCTGCTCAGGGAACATGGAGACATCTTTCTGGAAGAGCTCTTTGTGGCAGGCTCAAGTATCCTCTTACCCACCCATCCTCCACTTTCTACCCCTTGACTCTTCGGGAACATTCTAGACAATGTGGACATACTTGACCTTGCCTCTCTGCCTCCCCTCCCACAGCCATGGCCACCCCTCTTGGCCTCACTCAAAGGGTTCCTTTCCTGAACTCACAGACTGTGAGACCCTCTTCCCACCTCCTCTGTTCTTAGTGCCTCACATTGTCCTTGATTGATGGTTCTCTACCTTTGTTTTGGGGACTGGATCTCTCACTGAACCTGGAAGTCACCAGTTGGCTGGACTCTCTGGCCAGGGAGCCCCGAGGACCTGCTGTCTCCACTCTCCCAGAGCTGGGGTTACAGGCACCTACTATCACACCTAACTTTTTAATGGGTGCTGGGGATCCAGGTTAGGTCATCATTCTTATGCATAAAGCACATTGCCTACTGGGCTATCTTCCAGGTCTTCTTTTGGTTTCTTTTTGAGGCAGAGGCTCACTATCTATCTCAGGCTGGCCTTGAACTCATGGCTATCCTTCTGCCTCAGCTTCCCAAGTGCCGGGATGACAGAAATAGATGGTTTCACCTGCCTGATTCTCCTTACTCTTGGGTGCTGACTTCTATGTGGGCCTCATTTCCGCATCTCAGCTGCCTGTAGCCCCCAGCCAGCCTGAACAGTGCTCACGGTGCTGAGGGGTGGAAGGATCCACCACAAGCTTCTCCTCTTGGGCCTCTCAACACTTGGGGCTCCTGGGGACAGCAAGACAGGTCAGAGGCTCAGGGGCTGACACACAGTAGGTAAGGGCTCTACCACAGAGCTATTATCCATCTACCATCCAAACTACCAATAATTTTCCAGCCCATTTTAGAATCCTCCTGTGGTATTGTATTCCCCCAAATATTGTGCATGCTAATAAACTTATCTAGGGTCAGAGACAGAGCAGCCACAATATTAAACATGGAGGATAGGCAGTGGTAGCACATGCCTTTAATCCTAGCATTCCAGAGGCAGAAATCCATGTGTTCAAGGATACAGACAGGCATGGTGATTCATCACGCCTTTGATCCCAGAAAGCCAGCCTTTAATCCCAGGGAGTGGTGGTAGAAAGCAGAAAGGTATATAAGGCGTGAGGACCAGGAACTAGAAGCATTTGGCTGGTTAAGCATTCAGGCTTTTGAGCAGCAGTTCAGCTGAGACCCATTCTGGATGAGGACTCAGAGGCCTCCAGTCGGAGGAAAACAGGATCAGCTGAGGATCCAGCGAGGTGAGATAGCTGTGGCTTGTTCTGATTCTCTGACCTTCCAGCATTCACTCCAATAACTGGCTCAGGTTTGATTTTATTAATAAGAACTTCTAAGATTCCTGCTACATCCTCCTGTCTCGGTCTCCAGAGTCGTGGCATATGCCATCTCACCCAGCCTAGGTAGATCTGTTTTCCTGCTGTTGGCGGCTCACTAGAGGCTGCCTGCAGCCCTTGGCTTGTGGTCCCTTCCCTGCACCACTTCTGCCCTGGCTTCTGTCATCACCACTCCTTGTCTGAATTGGACTCTTGAGCCTTGGTTTTGTAAGAACTCCTGGGATGACTCGGGGCCCACCTGGCCGATCTAAGACAAACTTCCCATCAGCGAGATCCTTGATGACAGCTATGAGATTCTCTTGCCATGTGAAGGAACACGCTTGCAGACTTTGGGGATTAGGACCGAGACGTCTGTGTAGCGCTGCCTCCCACAGCATGCTCAGATCCTTCCAGCTGATCTGGCTGCACTTGGGATTGAAGCCAAACTTCCCATCTGACTCACAAAACTTTGGGGCCTGCCCCTGCTTGCCCACCCTGTTCTCCCTGGCTATCCCTTGACCACACCAGAGCCAGTGCTGCCTCTTCTTCCTCCCTCTCCCCTTTCCTTTACAACATAGCCCAGGCTGGCCTGGAACGCTATGAAGCCAAAGATAACTTTGAGTTTCTGATCCTCCTGCCTCCACCTCCCAAGAGCCCTGCTTCTGTCTGCTGGGAATGGATGTTCATGTGTGCTCAGCAACCACTCTACCAACTGAATCCTGTTCCCAGCCAATCAAGGCTTTCTTCTACTTTGAGGTTTCTCCCAAGTTT